TCCACCCCATTAAAGCATTAGCCAAGTAATGCAGTTGTGTATTTATCTGTCTTTTCAAGTAGACTATTTCCAATAAGTTGCATTTACCAACTTATTTCACCAAGTGAGTCTTGTTTTTTAGCGAGGAAGTTGGTGTGTAGGGGGGCATCATGAAGACAGACGACACTGTCACACTGGGATGGTGTTTGTCGCAATGCAAGGATTTTTTTCCCGCTCTATTATCATTACTATTGCTGATGTTATTGTTACAACAGCCATCTCAGGAAGTTGTTGAGCTGCTGAGGCCGAAAGGCAGAGAAGTGAAAATGGGGGAACTGAGAAATTGGAATTCAAGAAGCGGAGTGTGTGTTGTATAATATCTGCATTTACAGATAATTGGGAGCATGGAGTAAGACTGCCGTACATTCAGAATTTTTTTTTTTTATATTGCCACACATGTGGCCACATTAAAAAAAAACAGAGTGCTCCAGTTGGTTTGTCGTTAAAAAACATTTGTAGAGTTAATGGACTAATGTCAAACATGCTGCAAAACCAAGAACGAAGATGGGCTAAGGGAACAATTTTCACTTCATATGCTGCAACCACAATGAGCTGTAATCACATGCAAAGCATCAAATCCAATTTTCTTCAAATGGTTTAAGCATGCGTTAGTATTGGCATAAAAACAATAGTTGGAGTCGAGGTTTCACGTGTTACCGCTGTTGCTCCTCTCCTCCGTTTCATTCGGCTGTCCTTTAGGATGCTGGAGCAGGTGTGATAAATGCTACCGTTTAAATCAAAACCCTCCACTTGCTCCCCCTCAGCCCTCTGGGGAGAAACAGGATGCCTCCATGCAGATTGATATCAGGAGGCCCAGCCATCTCCTGCAAGCTCTGACTGATGGTCTGTCTGGATAAAAAATGAACTTTATACCTGCCATTCTGGTTGTGATTCATGTGTCTCCTCTGCCATCCGCACAGACCTTCACTACTCTACATGCTCTCTGAAAACTGTACATTTTATCATATACACTTACAGAAAATACCAATGTGTTTGCATTCACTAGCTTGCATTTGCACGTTTTCCACAGGCTGAGCTAAACATAATATCAAAGGGAGCTTCAGTCTCCTTGACAGCTTCAGTACTAATCAAATGTACAGCTTCACCTCAACAAATTAAAATGTAATTGAAAAGCATGTTTCAGTAATTGAATTTAAAAAGGGACATTCATTTATTATATAATTTCATTGCACACAGAACCATAACAAGATCTCAATTCAGTTAGTTTTGTTTATTATGTCTTATTGCTAAAGAAAACACAAAATTCACCAACTAGAGAATTGAATTTTTACATAAAACTAATAAAACGGATTTAAATACGGCAAACATAATCATGACAAAGATTGTCAACTTGACAGCTGGTAAGCTAGTCAACAAAAACATGCCGATGGACAGCAGTCTGGAATGAAGGCTCATAGACTGCTGCGTCTAACCTTGCTTATGGAAAGCTTAATGAAAGAAAACAGAGTAGAAGAAAAATGCCAAGCAATAGGAATGATTCCAGTCTTTAAATGAAAATGATGCAAATCTCATCCTGTAGTTTGACAGAGATTCACAGGGTGTAGAGTGCTGTTGCCAGACAGACTTAGGACATGGACCAAAAACTGTTGCCTTTCTCTGTTAAGGGACTCTATAATCAGAGACACCAGGGTGTTTTAGTCTGCTTAAGGAGTAAACGACTGGACGGCTGTAAAGTCTTCTATTAGAAATAAAGTTATCAGACTCTGGAGGAAGAACGCAGAAGCAGAGATCCAAATTACCTAATGTGAGTGAGTGATGATTTGAAGAGCCATGTCATCAGTGTTGTTTTCCAAGTCTGAAGAGAATGGTTTTAATAGATCCATTTTAGGGTCTATTGAAATAGGCTGGACTTCCTCAACACCTCAGCAAAGCAACAGGCTGATTGCCTGATGCAGTCATTCATGTGTTGAGAGCATTTACTGTGAAGTCCATGGACATACTTCTCAGTAGGTAGATATTTCTAGAATCCACGTATTCTAATGGCCTGATGTAACATTCTAATACTTATCAAAATTAGCAGACTACATGCCTGTGACAGGTAAATACTGAAATACAAAAATATTTTTTCCACATACCTGTGGCGTGGAAAAAATATAGGTATATGTTTAAAATCTTTGGATCTGCGTCATTATTGGCAGAGATTTTGTTCCAACTTCAAAGATGTGTTCAACGAACATTCCCGTTTGGCCCCTCCATACCATCATGAGTGACAGGCAGACAGAGCGTTGGGGTCACATTACTCAGAGTTAGCATTCTGTTCCTCTTCTTTCCTACATCAACAACATGGTGAAGCATTGCACTTTGCGCTCCAAACGGGAGAAGGTAGTGTGGGAGGCGGTGGTGCAAAAATGTAAAACACAGCCCCGGCTTTGGACTCCAATTAATTTGCCATTTGAAAAAGGAAAAAAAAAAAAGAAGAAGAAAAAAATGTATTTATGTGTTTGGTGAGGAGGGTAATTGTACATAAATTAGAATGTAACATCTCACTTTAGCCGCCGAGTGAAGACAAGACACGCCTGATTCAAAAGAAGACAACATATTTTGACAATGTCGCGAAGCCCATGTGGGGTTTTGGATCTTTGTGATTTCTCCCTTTGCAAAACAAGTCAAGGCTGCCGAGTTATCATGTTTAGTTGTCCTTTGAGAGATGCTACAGTGAATAAAGCCTTTTCAGTAGCACTTCCAACATCAGGAACTGCACACTATTAGAAATTCAGAGGGCTAAGGCCAATGAGGGACTTTCGGAGAACAGAGGAGAAAAAACCTATTATTAAAAACAAAAGCTATGTTTTTTTTTTTTTTTTTTTGGACTAGAGAATTGTTTCACAGAAAGTAGATAACAATGCATTTGTCAATGCAACACTCTGGAGCTCTATGAAGACACATTGACAGCTTTGGTTCAAAAGCTAAAGAAGTTGAGAAACCTGAAAAGTAGATAAAAAATACAATATGTTTGTCAAAGAATGTTAATCTGAGGACATCAATGCATCAGACTACAACTGCAGTGCAACATTAAAAAATCAGCCAAGGGGTGGAGGATCTCAGAGAGGTACTGTATGTCGTAGAGAGCATCATAGGCTGTTTTCAGCTTTCACAGTGAGATAGTGACAGGGTTTCCCTATGGTGGCTCACAGCAGATGTATTGTCTGGTCAACGGAGCATTTTAGAAGAACATCACCACCTTATTAGTGCCAACTGTAGGGCGGAAGTTCAATAATTTAGTTATTGCAGTGCTCTCATGAGGCTGACTGGAATGAAAATTGTGTCCTGCCACTGAGCAAACTTCAACCAATAGAATCTCAATAAACACCTAAAATCATCATCTCTAAATCAATAGATATGTCACCATTAACATTTTTAGTGATTGGTGCATGCTTATTTGTCATATTGTTACAGAGAAACACGCACACCTCCAAATTGCACATAGGCTGGTTACTTATAGGAAGGTATGAGTGAAATAAACTCACATTATTGATGACCATTTACTCACTGTCAAACTCTGGCATCAGGTTTAGTGAAAAGCAGAAGTGTGACTTGTGGCTGGCAGGGTTTATAATATAATAGCATAAAAATCTCAGCACAAAACATTAAAAAAATGAAATAGGTCCACCAAAGAGTTGCTATGACAAGCTCACAGTGATCGATTTTAAGGTGTCACATGCACTGTTCTTCGTGACCGGTTTTATGAAGGGATGATGGTGGCACGAGTTTGTCCTGTAATGTGTAGGTAGCCAGTTCAAATCCCCACCTGACCAGTTCAAACACCTGCTCTGTCTGTCTCAGTCGTGCCATTGGTAAAGACCTGCCTTGTTGGTGGTGATCAGAGGACCTGATGTTGGCGGTAAATGGCAGCCTCGCTTCTGTCAGACTGTCTCAGAGCAGGTGTGGCTACAATGTAGTAGCTCACCACCATCAAAGAGTAAATGTGGGTGGATGACTGAATGTAGTGTAAAGCACTTTGGAATCCTCAGGACTCAATAAGGTGATAGATAAGTTTACCATTTATTACCAAGATATTGGTATCATGCTTTGTGCTAGGCTAAAATTACTCACATAGATTCCACAGTTGAGGAAACTGTATCGTGGTGGTAGAAGTGCGATAGGATGACTGAGAACACATCCGAGAGAAGAAAATCAGGGTTGTGTTGGAACAAAGAATCGTGATTGCCTCAATGCTGAAATTAGGTTTGCCATCATCCACTGACGAGTGAACAGTTGTTGAGTTCCTGAGGACTTTGGGGATGCCTTACCTTGTTGTGAGGGGGGCCTAACATACTATGCTGGAAATTAAAACCATAAAGTGGGATTCCCTAGACATAAGAACTAGAAAGCATTTTCTGACATCTAAAGCTGATGTCTCCCACAGCATTTATGACACACATCAAACCCCAGCAGTTGATAGAACCAATTCCAAGGTTACAGTCGTCAATCACTAGCATGTTGTGATGAAACTGAAACCCTTGGAGGCAGAAAAAAAAAAAAACACACACACACACACAACCTCAGCAGTATATGAAGCCAGACCCATTTTTCCTGGATCAAGAGGTATTAAAACTGTAAAACACATCTGTTAGAGGCTGATTAAAGGTCACAAGAATCAAACAGTGACTGAATGAGGTGGGAAAAAGAAATCAAACAAATATTGATCTAAGGCCAGCTTCCACATAAGTAAAGTGATGGGATTTGTTTCAAGTTCATTCATGAAAAGGGCACTTATCATTTTATTTACCTAGGAGTGAACATGCTCTGCAGCAGATTTTAAATGTCAGAGCAGAACACATCCACAAAGTGCAGCAAAGCACTTTAGAAAGAATGTTTTTAAATCAAGTTCCTCCATAATAGATTTACTGTTTCCCCCACTTTGGCTGACACATTCTGGCAGGTCATCGATTGAGATATTTCACTCTGGAAACCAAATAGACAGAGATTGAGGTACTTACCCTAATGAGACCTCTGTTCCTGCTGTGCTCTTTTGTGAGACCATATTGAATGGGCACAGGGTATACATGTACCTGCAGAGGAAATAGAAAGAAAATGTGCCTATTAAATTAGATGGTACATATGGTCTTACTTTTGTGTCAGATAGCTTTTCTTTTTCCTCAGAATTCGCTCGGCCGATTTCCTCTATTTTGAGACTTCGATGAAATAAAATTTGCTGGCATTTGCGGGTATTACTGGCAGATTGTAGCCCACCACAGATGTTCAGCATGAGTAGAAATGCCAGCTAATATGCATCACAATACAAGAATACAGTTTTTTTCTCTGCTAGAGTTTGATGCACATCTGATTATCTTAAGAAATGCTTGGTATAAATATTAAAAGCCCTCCTATCAAGGAATATGTTTCAGTATTAATTATGCATTAAACGCACATGCAGCATGCAGTAGTGTCAAACCCAAACAGAATTATCATCAAACTCCAATCTCCACCATCTTTGCTCAGTTTGACAATTTTTTGTCTAGTCTTTCCAACAAAAAACATTAAAGGTTTTTTGTCAATTCTTAATGTCAATTAAGATTTCTAATTCAACTCCAGTCAGAACAATCAGATCCAAGCAAGACCTTAAACTGCTGTGGTAAAGTACTGGTGCTAGACTTATACCAGTCGCAAGGGAAGAATCAAAAAGCTCCTGGATGAATGATGTCCCAATCTGTATGTATGTAATGTCCATTTCTTTAACAGCCTGCAAATGATGACTAAATCACTGGCATTGATTGGGTAATCTTTGACTGTACGGTGCGGGTACATTCTGTGCTTCTCTTGGCTGACGTCTCTGGAGTTATCTCAAACTCCTCCAAATGAGCAACTCAGTCAGAGAGAAACCTCTGGAAGTTCACACAAAACTTTCAGTAACTTTCAGTAGTGCTTTGCTAGATATTTGGCTGCAACATACACATAGTATCTTCTATGCTCTGTTGTTCAGAAAATACAAAAGCACACACACACACATATACATCCCGATCCTGACTCCTAAAGTTGACACAAGAGAGCATAGAGTTAGTGTTGACATCTTTTCTCCTAAATATCTGGCACCAGTTATTATGAGTCAGCCAGGTGCTACAGCTTTGACAACTGAGGCAGAATTAAGTCACTAAACTTCAGTTCATTATCTATCAGCAGACAACAGAAAAAACAGCAACAAGTCACAAAACCATGGCGAGGTCAAGTCCCACAAACACATTAGCCAAAATGAATAAAAATGCACTCTGTAGCCACCTGCTAAATGCAAAGTTGAAGGGCTGAATCAGAATATGAAAGGTTGCCATTATATGCACAGAGAACACTGATGCTGCTAATCTTATAGTAAGATTTTTTTATGTTTTCAGGAACTGTAAGTGTCAATGCACTTCAGCTCTGTTTCGTGTGTGGGTGTACTATGGGCTTGTCCTGGATTAACAGTAGCTAAAAGAGCAGTTGCTCCCACTTCATCTAGATTGCTGGATGAATGATGATAAGAGTCCTTGGTCCTGTCTTATCTCCAACTCACCTTGCAGGTCATGGGAGAAAATAGTTTGTGTTTATTTTTTCCGTTCAGGGACCCATTTTATGATGCGATGCAGTCTTACAAAGTTCACAGGGCATTTAAAGGGGAAAATGGCCCACAGCATCACAGATCCTCTACCATGACAAGAAGAATGAGGTAATTTTCCAAATGTCCATTCTTTGTTTACATTTGGATTCACTATCTTTCAGCGATAGTGAAAGAGAAATGTCACTATCATTCAACCAAAGCTCACAGTTCCCAGTAGATATTACCACGTTTACGTTTGTGATGGCAGGAAAAATAAGGGCCTCCCCTTAAATTAATGTTATTAAGCTAGAGGTTGGATCTGTTGTTTCAGTTTGAGAATATATTCAAACATCTTTGTTGAGAGAATCAACAAAAGTGGTTTTGTTGATTGTTGCTCGACAATCTGAACTAAGAGGTTCTATTGAGCAGTATTTACTTAGTTTCTGTTATTCTAAGATGGATAAATAACGAATGAAGCTGGATGAAACATGAGTCTTATTTGACAAAAAAACAAACATTTTATACAACCACACACTTTATCTTTATAGTTTTCTTAGCAAACAGTAGTGTGTAAAGTGTAAAGAAAAAAAAAGTCTTGGTATTATTATGTAGCACATATTTTTCTATTGACTGCTACTGAAATTCAATATTGTCAAGTTTTTTGATGCTGTGGAAAATCAACTGATAAGACCTGTGAAACATCAGTCAAAAAAAAAAAACTGTGTAAGCAAGATTTTTTTTCTTTTCTCAATGACTAGCCGGTGAGACAAAAAAAAAAAAAAAAGAGTGGCATGGAGCTACCAATTATCCCACCACCACCCACAGCTCTTCCACTTGGGCAAAGACAAATCTATGGGAGTTAACACTTTGCTGAAGCCATCACTAATGTACTTGGTGGTAAGGAGTTGAAGCACGATCACTCAGTCCAGAAGCAAACTGATCAGAGACCTTGATGGAGTCGCTGACAGGGTAAAAGGCAGCTGGAGGTTTTTTATTGACACTTAAACCATTATGTGGACTTCCATGAGGATGCCAGAGGGAAAGAGAAAGAGAGAGAATGAGGGAGGAAGGTAAAGAGCATAAATATATACGGGTTTGGAAGTGGGAGAGGGATCAGCAGGATTATTTTATCTACAGCTCATGTTGTTATCCATGTGTATATATTGTTCTTTGGCTTCATTATTTTTGTGATGTCCCCTGTTTGTCCTGCTGTTTTACTAATTGGTCACATTCTGTAGGTTTTCTCATTATTTACATCAAAAGATTTATCCTGCTAAGCTCTGGTCTGCTCTTTTGTTCCTACTTTTAAACAATCAAACGCAACACAGAAGGATTAACACAACTACAACTCAAACATTACTGAAATGATCCAGTCATTACTTTAGTTAATCTCATGCAAATGTTCTTTCTGCACTAATGAAGATTCACTCACCTCAACATGGAGGATGCTTAAAACTGAAAGTGAAACCGACAGCTTGACTTGTTTTCTGATTAGTTTGGTCAATAACGGATCGGAAATGCCGTCCCGGTAGAGTTTCAATAACTCCCAGCATCCTATTTTCACTTGATATTTGCTTTGTTGTTCTGCACCTATGTCACTTGATTCATTAAGTTTATAAGGCAGGTGGTTCAGTAACAATAAACCTCTTCATTTGAGGCCTAAAGCATATGGTGCCTGGTGATGGTGGGTAGCGGAAGAGGGGGTAACGCAATGAAAAACGCTTCTTAATAGCTCCCAGAAGGGAGTACGGCTATATGACTGAAACTCCTTTTCACCCTTTCTGTCGGGCTCACTCCGACCCTCAAGGTAAGAGATCCAATCCTGTCTACTTCTAATGACAAGCCTTCAATGCACAAAAAAAAGAGGATCTTAGAGAGGCGATGCAATAAAATTTGACTAGGATCCTCAAATGCCTGACTCCATGAAGGGAGGGGAACTAATAAAAACAAAAGTTTTGTGTGGATGAAAAGGGGAAAAAAAGCCAGAAAATGTAAGAAATGTCAATGTGAACATGTAGACCGAGGTGCATGTTGAGTAGCTGTCCGCTGGCGGGATGGACCCTTCTGCCATCTGTGTTAGATAAAAGGGACATTGCAGAAAGGTCAACATGCACATTTACACAAACTGTCCCCAGCTATCCTTAGCAGAAAGCAAAGCATGGCACAAAGGGGGTAAATATCAGCAAAGACGGACGAGTGGGTGACAAAGGCTTTGAGGAGAATAGACTGACAGGAGTGGGGGGAAAAAAAATAAGAGTGAGGAGCAGCAAGGAGAACAAAGACAGAGGGAAGGGCGAGACTGAAGGATAAAAAGAAATAAAAGTGCGCAAAAGGGAGTGGGAGGGAATCCGAGTGTGCTGCCGGTGATGCTGCGCGTATGAATCACCAACTGCACAGACTGAAAATATGACAGATGATTATATGCAACAAGAGAGACTCTGGGTGGAGGACACAAAGGATATTAAAGACAGAAAGACGAGGGGATGAAACGCAGTGGGTCACTTATTAAATCTTTGGTAATAATCAGGAGCGTCAGATCAGAAACGACAACAGTGATCTTTCCATTCAAGTGCTGAACTCCACATCGCGTCTCCTTCCATCCCCCGATGTTTGATTTGCCGCTGTTTGACAATGCAGCTCTGACACTTGCCATAATAGGTTGCAACCACTGTGTCAATCTTTGGTAGGTGTGTTCCGGCTGACAGTACACAGCCAGAGAATAAATATCTTAGATGCAACCTCCAAGGCCCTTGGGCAGTATTTCATACCTCAGTGAGTTGGACAGCCAGCTGAAGTCCCCTACAGAACTGCTGAGCTCTAAGAGTTTCCAAAGTAAAACTGGTTTTATGTTTCAGTTCTTACAAGTTTAATTAAACAGAATAAAAGGACAAAAAATTATCTCAGACTTGTTAAAGTCTTAAAGACCACAATATCCTGAGTATAAATTTAATTTTGAATCAAGACCACAAATAAGACATTGCACAGAAAAAACAACAACAACAAAAAAAAAAAAACGTTTTGCTTTTACTTCACTGCACTTAATATCAGCACAGATCCCAGTATTACAATATACAATGTAGTGGAAAAAAACAAAAACAAATTTGTCCTGTTTCAAATTTGCTTCATTTTTTTTGCTTTTTTCCAAATGTATCAAACCATTTAACAAATTTAATGTCACACAATGGCAATCTGAGTTGGTGCAGTAAACACACACAATGTGAAAGCACAGTTGGAAATGTTAAATTCTACTATTAACTCTACTTCCAGCCTTGGCTGCTCAATGCTTATTTATATTTTATTATATTGATGCCCCCTTTGTGGTTTTATTGCTCCATAAAACATAAATACTCCAATTGTGTCATTACATAACATTCTGTTCAGGGGTAAAACTTTAGCAACCTTCATGCAGGGAGGTTGCATATATGCACAAACAAATTCAAACAAAACCGTCACATTAAATCCAAATCTATACAATATGCTCATAGCTAGTCAACAAAAAAC